ATTGTCCTGGGACTTCCTGAAGAGCCACTGTGAAGCATTCTACCAAGGAGGGTATGACCAGTAAACACATTTTATTAAAATAATAGCATGTTTCAGGCGCTGCTAATAGAGCTACTCAACTACCTTGATCTTTATGTACCTCTCCATCAAGTGAATTTCTCAAAGTTTGGCTTACTTTGAGCTAGATGTGGCCTTCCTGGCACCTAAGTTTAATGAGGTGACTAAATTCTTGCCTTTGCAATATGAACAGAAGTGATGTGTGAACTTCTAGATCATGCCCTTTATGGAGGGATTAAGCATTCTTCCCTTTTCTCCTTCCTCCCGGCTGTCAGGAGAAGGAGGTGGCAACCATCTTGAGTATGCAGCAGGGGTGATAACCTAGGGGAGGTGGGGCCCCGTGATGGAGGAAGCCTGGGCCAGGACACCACCGGGCCGCCATACAAGCCCTGACCACTTAGGCCAGACTGCTATGCAAGAGAAAGTTAAGCTTCTAGGGTGTCTACACATCTGTAATTGTGGGTCTCTGTAGCACAATGGAACTCAGTTCACAGCTAATACAGTCACCCTCCATTTTCACAGTCCAGGAATCCCCAGGAGTGAAGGATGGGGACTACTGATCTGAATTAGTTTGGTGGGACTTTAGACAAGTCACTCTCAAGGGCTCCTTTGCAAAATGAGGCTTCTGATGTCAGTCAGCTACTTATCTCATAGAACCACATGATCTACAACCGGAAAAAACACTCAATAGATGAGTTCTCTTTTGTGGTGAATTGATAGATGAGTGTCAGTTAAATGCTCACATGTCCAGATGGAAGTTCTTGTTTCAGAGTAAAGTACTGCCACTAGAGAACCATGTGACACCTGCCAGAAAAGAATGGTTCCTTGGCTTGCACAGAACCAGTTTTTTCAACAAGTATTGATTGAGCACTTACTGTGCCAGGCACACAGGGAACAATGATCAGCAAGAACAGACGCAGGCCGCCTTCCTAATGCCTACAGCCTAGTAAAGGAGACAACACACCATGCAAACCCACTGTGTGCGCACGATCATAAATTATGTTAAGGCTAAAACGGAAAGATACAGTGGTACTCAGGAGAAATCCACACCATTTTGATGGGAATAAAAACCTTGGGTACCCATATGGTCATGCCTCTGTAGATACATGGGTGAGCAGGAACCTCCATTCAGCAGGAATCCATCCTACAATATGGTGTTAATGTCTATATCCTATCTTTCTGGGATGACCTTGATCTGTTCTGACAGAATTTGTACATCCACTTAGATTTAGGGAAACCTACTAGGTACAGTTCACTCTTCAAATGTCTGTGTATCAAAAATGGTGACAGAGTAGTAGAGGTGCCCAAGGTGTAGTGTCTGACTAGACTGGGGCTTGGTGGAATCCTAAGCAGCTACCAGTCTCACCCTGTTTCTTGCCTCACACTTCCTATATGGTTGTTTGACACCTCACAGAGAGCATCACGTTCCCGGCCTCCACTTTTCAAAGGCCAGCATTAGCCATGCTTTAAACGTCTGCACACAAAACTATCATTGTTCACAGCCTGGAAAGAGGCTCAAGGGGAGACTCACCAAAATCAGCCAGTTTGAGCTCTCCCAGCTGACTGATGAGTAGGTTCTGAGGTTTCAGGTCCCTGTGAAGAACATGGTGGTGGTGGATGTATGCCAGGCCCCGCAAAAGTTGAAACATGAAAAGCTGGAAGGAATGAACACTTTATCTAAGCAGATTTGGGCCACTATGGGTTGATTTTGCCTCTAAATCAGAAACAGCCATCTGAAAGAACATTGTACAAGTGTCCCTTGAGGGACAAAAAAAATGAAGATTTTACATTCAGAGGGGGAAAAAGGACAAGGAAAGTCAAGTAAGTAGACCATGTCCTAAATCAAGGGATTCTGGCTTTTCCTTACCTCTCATTTCTTTGATACTGAAGGAATTATCCTTCCTCAAAAATCTAAAGGGAGACTTTGAAGTTTTCCTTTGGAACACTAGTTACTGATTTAGATGTGAAAGATTTAATTTTTCTTTCCCATCAATGAACTTGGCATATAAGATCAAAGTTGACCTGGAAATGATATTCTAAGGTTTACAACTTCTTAAGTATTCCAGAGTCTCTGATATGAAACCCCTTAAAAACATAACACAAGGAGACCAGACTGAGCAATATATTCTTAGGTGGCTTTAGGAAATAAAGGAACCATTATCTTTTTAAACCTATTTTAAAGTCTTAAGTTCAAAGTTGAAAACTGAGGGAATATACAGTATAGATTAAGAGGGAGAGAGATGGAAAGAAATTGGATCCTCCCCCCAAACCAAAAGGGAATAAGGAATAAACAGTAGAGAGAAGAAAGAAAGGGGGGTAATACATTCTGGGTCCAAATTTTTAAATGTTGCATGTGGTCATAAGGCACAGAAACCAGAGATGATATTAGGTTCCCACCAATAGAGAAGCTTAAGGGAAAAAAAGAATGCTTAGTATTCCAAGAGTCTTTTGCTCTCTCCCAGGGCCACTGGCAGTTGAGAATTCAAACACCAGTGTTAGTGTTTACAAAGACCTATGCCAACTGAGAACATGTAATGGCAGTTCAGAAAGGAAGGGCCCGCTCCAGCATTCTGAGAATGCAGGCAAAATAGCAGATGCAAAGCTGTGTGGATAAATCCACTTTTTCCATCACACCTTGGAAACCAGGCACTTCAGAGGCGTTGTGGCCTGTGCTGGACCTGACAGTGAAGACCTTGAAGCCAAGCTGATGAGCATCATGGTCTGACCAGAGCAGGAGCCTGGGGAGTTTGCCCAGCACAGCCACTGCAGCCGTGTTGGTTCTATGCAGGCCCACAGCAGGTTTCACAAGCCGTGAAAGAATGTGAACAATTTCTTGAGACTCCCACTTCAAACATTTGCTGTCTCTATGAGTTTTCCCAATGCTTTCTCTTCTTGGTGCTTCCAATTCACACACGATTCACTTCACCATTCATCAAACCACTAAGCTACCAAAACAGAAAATTCCTATACCAACATTTAAATTTTCCAGTCGTTTATAAGCATAAATGTTCATGGGAAAGACAACATAAAGAACCAACTAAAAATTGCAGGTAAAAGATAAGATGTCATAATATGTGCTTAAAAATTTATTTTTCAATCTGAAGGTACTAAGGAAAGAGGGACAAAAGATAGAAAGATGGTGACAGGTGACAGGTGAGGGATAGAAGAAAGAAAGAGAAAAAAACATTTATTGAATGCATAGCACCTTTTGCAATTCTCAAAAGTACCTTGGGTGGAAGATAGGCTTGTCTTCAATACACAGGTGAGAAAAACAGGGCTCAAGGAAACTTTAAGAACACGTCTAGAAAGAGTCAAAGTCGGACCTGCCTGACTCCACTACACCATCCTGAGAAACTGGAGAAAAGGCAGAAAATCAAAACATGCCAGGGAAGGAAAGCATCTGCCGGCTGAGCCAGAGACAGAGCTTTATAGCAGGCCAGGCTGAATGCTTTCACATTCCGAGTAGAAGCTGTTCTCACTAATTAGTCACACCCACCTCCCCATTCTTGCTTTTCAGTTCCTTTCCTCCCTGGCTCCACATACGTCTACAAGCATTTGTAAATGGTAAAGCCCTGCGGTATTAATGTATTTCATATGATATTTCATAGCTACACTTCTCAAAACTGCACTCTCTGCTAACTAACCTCACCACCCACTCATTCTTTAATGCTTTGCTACCTGGATCCTTCCTTCATACAGCCAAAGCTTCACTACTAATATAACCCAACCTGAGCATGTTTTCTTAGGCAACATCAAGCCAGATCATAGGTGACTCTTTCCAGAGAGGCTTCCCAAACCCCAGGGGTTAGTCATGTTTCCAATACAGTGAAGGTCTTGGGAAAAAAATAATTCCTCTGGACTAGTGCCACCTGGGGAAGGAGTCCCTCAGAAACACAATCAGATCAGTCAGTCAACTCCTGCAGGGAATCCTGAGTCCTTCCACTCACCAGCGATCCCTGAGACTTGTTCTGTTAGAAACTCGATACAGGCTAACCTTACTCTGATTCCCAACCTCTCTTCCATGACCACTACTCACAGTAGAAGCCTCTCTGATGGTGCCTTTTTCCACATAAGCTCATCTCCATACTGCTCTGTGCTGCTTCTCATTTACCCCAGTATACACCGTTCCTCCCTCTCCCAGACCTTTTCTGTGGTTCACTCCTCACTCCTCACTCCTCCTGGTTTAAAAACTCCCTACATTCCAAACTCATGCATTTCCTCTGGCTCCTTCCCTTAAGTGAGACCTCGAGTTCGCTGCTCCCACACAGCATTCTCAAGTGGATGCTAGTTTTTCTACAACTTAGTCTTACCTTCAATCACTGTGAGATGGGGGTCTGCTGCCTCCCAAACCCCCAATATTACTTCAAAGCTATTGTTTCTCTGCTCCTCAAGCAAAGATCCCTGCCTCTTGGACTTGCATGCCATCCAGTTCTGTCTCCCTCTATCCTCCTTTTCACTGTCACCCACAGCACTTCCCACCACTCTCCATCATTCACTTGGGATGTGGATGCCTGAACCACAGCTGCCGCCTCCTTGACATCAGTGTCCATGAGAACAAGTCCAATTACCCTCCTCGGCTCTGATGATCTATTTCCCAAATCCACTTCAGCCCCTCACTCCTGTTCACACACTGGGGCATTGTATGGAACTGTTCGTCCTCTAAAATGTGAAATTCATCCCCCTGTAAGATGACTTCTGCCATGGTTGCTTCACTCATAATATTTTTACTGTGGTCACTGAAGCCTGTCGCAATGGAAATCCAATGGCTGCCTTTCATGCCTTCTCTTTGCAGCGTTTGGCTTTGTTGGCTATCTTCCTTCCTGAAGCTCTCTCTCCCCTTGATACACCATCTCTTAATGTTTCTATTACCTCTCTGCTGTGGTTTTTTTTTATAGGTTCCACTGCTTCCACTGATCTTTACTATATTGATATTCCATCCTTGATCTTCTCTTATCACCTTATACTCTCCCTTATCCACTGATATTGCTTCACTTAACAACTGTATACTGATATTTCAAAATTTTTATCTCCAACTCAGATCCCTTTCCTGAACTTTAGATCCATATAGTCTAAAGTTAACCTGGACATTCTATAATCACCTCAAACTCAGTATGTCCAAAACTTAACTGTGTCCCTCTAAAATCTATTTTAGATTTCTCTGTTTCTCTATCTCAGTAAATGGCACCATCATCCATCTACAAGCATCTCAAAACTAGAAAAATTATTGCTGGCTCTTCAGTCTCTCATCGATTCTGGCTCAGTAGCTGACCATATAGACAACCACTTTCCTGTCATCATTTCACATCTACCCCACTGACATCCTGACAGGCCTCACTGTCTGGACCCCTAACAGACATCCCCACTTAGGGAATAACTAAAAGAAATGAGAGTCTAGGGTGGGGTAGAAAAAAAAGGAGAGAATGAGGTCAGGGGAGTGTAACATTTCAAAAAAAGTCTTGCCTCTTTCCAATTTATGCACCACAGTGTCATCAGAGTGAGCTTTCATAAAGAAAAACTGAATTTATAATCTATGGGTTTAAAACCATTTAATGGTTCCTCATATGGAGCAGTATGACACAGTCAGGCCCTTCACACTCTGGCTGCTACTTACCTCTCCAGGCTCATCTCTAACCCGACTCCGTTAATTCTAAACTCCAGCCTTACTGAATCATTTTCGGTTCTTGGACTCACCGTGTCCACTCCAGCATCTCAGCACTCTCCACTGCTGCCCCTGCCATGAGGAAGTCATCCCTACTCCTACCTGCATTGACTGGAAAACTTCTTCCTTTGTGCTTCCATCTATCCTTAGTAAATTCCTCTATTTATTAGGGTATCCCTCAGAAACCCACAAAGCCCTTGCGGGTAAATATGACTTTCAACTATATTCCTGGTGCTTACGACCCTCTCGACCATGCCCTCTCTGAAACTGTCTCTTCCCTTGACTTTTGTGAAAATGTATTTTCCTGGATCCTCCACATTCTTAAAAGCTGCTTCCCTTTGTCCCTTGCTGTCCTGTTCTCATCCCATAAAGACAAAAGTCCTATCACCAGTCCTTTTGGCTTTATGTATTTGCTCTCTTGTTATCCACTCTCTTGTCTTCAACTACAAACTCATGTGCCAATAACCCTCAAACCTACATCCTATCTTCCTTCCGGCTCCAATCTCCCCTTCAGTTGCCTGCTACTCATTTCCCTTTGGGTTCCCACCTCAACTAGAAGCTCATCATGTCTAAAACAGGACCCTCTTCCTCCTCTCCAAGTCTGCTCCTTCATTTCTGCTAATAGAGCTATAATTCTCCTAGTCAATCAAACTCAAAATCAGTGATGTTTGGCCTCATTCTTTCCCTGCTCATATCCAGTTAGTCACCTTGTCCTGTCCTTCATTTCTATTTTTCACATTCCTTTCCATTTGTACCTTCACTACCATCATTTAGGCCTTTATTCGTTTTGCCTAGATCCTTGCTACTCAAAGTATGATCCCCAACTGGCAGCATCTCTATCACCTTGGAGCATATTAGAATCCTGAAGCTCAGACCTCACGCTAGACTCACTGAATCAGATCCCCAGGTCATGTGTTTGTTCCCTGAAGTTTGAGTAGCCCTGGGCTAGCCCACATCAATAAGCTCCTAACTAGAATCCCTGACTCCAACTTCCTCTCTTTAATCTATCCCACAGACCACATAAATTTCCTTCTGATCATGTCATTCTCAACTCAACTCAAACCCCTTTAATGACTCTACTGTCTAAGGAATAAAATTCACCTCTCAGAAGGTAAGGCTCTCAGCTGCCTATGCAATCTATTTATCTGTTTCTCCAGACTTTGGTACCCCATTTCACTAATATGTTCTATATTTCAAGTCAACAGGACCAGAGATGCACATTACCTTAGGCAAAATATTTGTCTCCTCAAACCTTGGATTTTAATTCTGCAAAATAAGGAAATTAGACCAGACCAGTGTTTTTAACACTTTTTTTAAACCTGCAACTCACAGTAAGAAATATATACGTATGCAGTATTCACTTCCATACAGAGATATAGGTAGAGTTTAAACTAGAACAAAAGTTTGTATAAAATAATACACATTCTTACTAAGTATAATATACTCCAATATTTTCTATTCTTTTCTTATCCATTCCATTTCAGTTTTTAAAGTACTGGTTACTAATAATCAAATTTACTTCATACCTCACTAATGGGTTAGAACCTGAAGACTGAAAGACATGGTGGTCCCTCCAATCATAACAGTCTGGGGCTCTGGGATCCTCTTCCTTAAGCACATCTTCTCCTTTGCTGCTCTGTACCTTTGCTGAAAACATTCCTTCTTCCTGTAACATCTTCCCCTAATTCTAACTTCTTGAAATGCAGTGTTTGTTTTAAGATCTGGCTTAATGAAACTTCTTAAAGTAAGAAGGTATCTTTTCCTTCTTTGCACATCTACAATATTAGGTCTTATTTCTTACTTGGCATTTTCCTCAAATGTCCTGTAATGGTATTGGTGTATATTTCTTATTTCCTGATTTTGGTTGTAAGTCCTTGAGAGCAGGTATCATGTCTTCTATGTCTCTTTCTCCTTTTAAGCATTTAGCACGGTGCCTGGTGTGAGAGTCACTCCAGCCTGAAAGTGTTCCATCTTTCCCACTATTATTCTTTCCCCAACTGTTCCTCTATTTAATCAACACCTCTAGTTCCTTGACTCTTCTGTTCTCTGCCTATCAGCAACCTGCCTATCATCACTTCCTTCCCTCAGATTAGACTCAGTTGAGAAGCCACTGACCACCACTCTAATCTCTCTCTTGACAATCTCAACTCTCTGCCCAACTGTCTTTTCCACTCACATGTCTGGCAAAACCCCAACTCTGCAGCAATTCAGCTGTCTACTTTCCCTATCTGTTAGAATTACTAGGCACTGCCATTAAAAAAGAAATCCACTGATCATGAAGATAATTTAATGGTTTTCATCCTCCCCAGAATCCTTAACACACTACTAGCCATTCCTTCATGGTTTCCCTACTGAGTTCTGTTTCCCATTCTCCACTAGCTTTTTTCAAATGTTTTACTCTCCTTGACTCCTGTCCTCACACTTTCTTTTCCCCCTTGCTTCCAAGACCTGATTAATTCCCCTTACAATGAGTTTTCATAGTATTCTTAGTCAACATGGCCATAGCCCTTATCACTTCGCTCTCAGTACCTATTTAAGCCCGTATATCTTACTGGGCATTAAGCTCACTGGAAACAAGAAACACAATATATTCATTATTGAAACCTTACAAGTTAATATAGTACTAAGTACTCAACAAATATTTCTTGAATGATGAATGAATGCGTAAATATTAGTTAAATGAATGAGTACATCATAAATACATGGTTGTGTTAAGGGTCAATCAATTAATTAATACCAATAAAACCTTGAGGAATGAAAAGTATTAAATACAAGTGGTTTTTAAAATTCATAACAGATGTAGAATTACAGCTAATTAAGAGTTGATTATTTCTATTCCAATGACTGAAAAAACAGAAGTTGGTCCCACATATAATAGGATCTGATACAATAGGTAAAAGGGTAACTGATTAAGATCTAACAAAGGCAGTCTGTTTGCTAATGCTAGTAGGGAACTATAGGTATGACACAAACTTTATCACAGACCAGTAGTCTGCCATTAAGAAGGTATGTATTTGATGGAGGCCTAGCTTCACTCCTTTCCTTTTAAGCAATTCTTTTTAATTGGTTTATACTTCTAAAGACACATTTGCATGACGGCAATGAGTGCCCAGAAAATGGCTAGATATTGCTCCATATCTTGAGGGGTCAGCTCTCTTTATTTAAAAAAAAATTATTCTAGAATGCAAATTATGTCCATCTCCTTATTTAGTATCATGGGACTTTGCTTTGTGATGGCAGTCTGTTTCAAAATTCTCCTGCTGTGGGCAAGTCCAGGGAGAGTCCTGACCCTCCACGTACTCACCCTGACATTGTGAGGATGAAGCCCTCCTGGGTGCTGAGACATGTACTGGGCCAGGTCTGTGTGCTACACAAAGTGGTAGAGAGAGCAATGTTAGTGGTACTTGGACAGTGTCCCAAAGCTAACCAGAGACTTGACTGTCAGAGGTATTACAAAGTTCAGAATATTTGAGAATAAGATTCAAAAGGCACATAACCAGGTTTTTTGAGACCTCACTGCTAAGGTCAAATACAATGTGTGTTTCTAACTGACTGCTCTTAGAAAGATGCTCATTTTAAAGGACTGCCAGTGAACTTAATGACACAGGGATCTTTCTTTTTGGAGACAAGACAGGTACACAACTTCATGATTTATTTCTGCTAGCATTTGAATAGTTTTTCCTTTCAAAAACACAAAAATGAGTTATTCATTAGTAAGCTTGTATACAATTTTTTAAAACCGTGTGATTTATGTCTTTATTGTCAATGAAAAATGTTGGGTTCTGCTCAGATAGTGATTAAAAACATTAAAAAATAAGTGCAAAAGTTGAATTTAGGAGACAAACTCAAAGTGCTTAGTTATTATTGCTGGTGAGGAGGAAAAGACAGCAAATACAGCAGGTAAAGAAGCAGAACTAAAGAATGAGCATAAGAACAATAGGCTCTACTAATCATAATAAAGAAAATTTCCATGACACTTTCCACATTGTAATGAAAGTTTTATCATGCCATAAAATATTAACAGATTCATTATACAAGCCTAGGCTTTTCCCTTGTAAAATGTTGGGGCAACTCACCATGTATTCAAAAACGAATGTAAGTGTCTCTTTGGTGTGGATTATGTCATGCAGGAGCACAATATTGGCATGTTTCAAACCCTTCAGGAGAGAAGCTAGAAAAATTAAATAAAATGTTAAATCAGTCATTGATAATGAAAGTACTTCTTTAAAGATATAGCAGTATTTAGTTTCTAAACATTTCAAATCAAGCATTCTGGCTTTTTACTGCTGGAAAAAAATATTTTGTTGTGAAATAATATATAAAATTATTTGTCAAATGGTGAGTCATTGCATTTACATAAACTTATTTTTGTTACAGGCTAGAGTAGTTGCAAAAAATATGTTTCCATTTACCTAATCAATTTCATCAAAGCACTCAGTGCACTTTGCAAATGCTTTCCTCTCAGAATCGTTCCATCTCTGCTTGAGAGATATGAGCGAGAAGGCCTGGTGAGATAAAGGCCATTGGAGGAGCAGGAAATGGTGTGTTCTGCTTCCTAGAACTGGACTTTGCAACACTGACCATTCTTAGAAATTCAAAGTCTCACTGGGGGTCATCAGGATCCATGGATGTGATTAGTGGAAGGCAGGGATAAGAACATAGGATGAAGAATTGTTGAAATGTAATAGAGAATGGAGGGAGTTTCTTAAAGGGAGAATTGCAAACCTCTGTTGAAAGGAGAAAATAAAAACTTGAAAAGGGACAGGGCCAAACCTGGGGTGCCCAGGGGATTGGGAGTGGGGAGGGCTGAGGTCACTAAAGTAATCCTTAAAAGGAAGTCACTGCAAAAGGCCAGTAAGTGGCTTGAAGGGGTTTGAAAGGCTTTCATTAGAGGCTCCAAGATAGGAAGATCCTACCTTTAGGAGACAAAAAAAGGCCCAATAAGGAGATGATAAGTCTCAGCTCTGGCATGAAGAAATCATTAAGACTTGAAGGACAGGAGAAGTTAAGTATAAAACTCAAATCAATGTTCTGCAACAAAACAGCAACAGACTCACAGAACCCAAGAACGGACTAGCAGTTACCAAAGGGCAGGCGCTGGGGATGGTGGGCAGGAAGGGTGGGAGAAGGGGATTAAGGGGCATTATGATTAGCACACATAATGTAGGGGGGTGCCAAGGGGAAGGCAGTATAGCACAGAGAAGACAAGTAGTGACTCTATAGCATCTTACTACACTGATGGACAGTGACTATAATGGGTTACGTAGTGGAGACTTGATAATAGGGGGGAATGTAGTAACCACAATGTTGCTCTTGTGAAACCTTCATAGGATTGTATGTCAATGATACCTTAATAAAAAAGAAATCAATGTTCTGCCGGGTATGCTTGCATATCATGAATCTCCTGCACCAACTCTTGCCCAGAAAATTCCGAAAGATCAGAAACTCCCTTTCAATTTTGGAACAAAATTACTTTCTTCAGGAATCTTACCCTGTTGTAATGATGTAATGATCTGCTGCTGGTTTGCACCCCGCCCCCCCAACTCCCTGCAGCTATTCTCGCTTCTAGTGGTGCTGCCTCCGCTTTCCTCGGGGGAACTAATCCTTTCCCTCCTCAGTCCATGCTGTTCTGGTGGGGCTGAGCCCATCCCCTACTCAAGACTGGGTATGTGACCCAGTCTGACTAACCAGAGCACAGTACCCCTTAGCCAGTGATTGGTTCAATGACAGGCACAAAATCCAAGCCTGGGAGAGCCCCAGTTTGCTGGTACCATAAGGAAAGAAGTACTTTCTTTTACCCACTGTGAGAGCTGAGCTTGTAGGATTTAGCCAGGAACTGCTGTGGCCAGATTACCAACACCTAGCGAAAGCATGTCTGGGGATAAAACTAAGGCAGAGAAAAACAGTGTTGGGATGGAGAGGCTGGATTCCTGATGACACATCTGGGACCTGATAGCTGGTAGTTAATCAGATCTGAGCCAGTGAAATTTCCTTCTTAGGACAGTTCAGCTGGCAACCTCTTACCATCAAAGAGACCCTGTTACACCTGTTAACCCTGATTTGCTCTGATGACTAATACTCTACTCTTTGCCCCCTGAATCCTTGGGAGCTAAATTTATTATTTCACTTTAACCAGTATATTGCTTTGTAAATGTGAAAGCAGTTTCACAGGGCATCTATTTCACATCCCTCGTTCCAGACTGAAGGCTACATGAGAACAGAGGGAGTGACTTTGCCTCTCAGATGCTCCCATACTATCTAGTACAACACTCAACAAAGACTAAGCACTTAATTTATCAAATATATTTATTAAGTGTCATAATAGAACTGACTGTGGAGCCAGAAACCCTAATATGAATCCTGGCCCCGTCACTTTCTATCCAAGTGAGCTCAGCAGAGTATGTCAACCCAAGCCTCAGTTCATTCCTTATGAAAAAGAGTTAACACTTTCTGATTTGACTTCACAGGGTGGCATGAGAGTGGAACCAGATCCCATGCATGGAGGAATGCTTGGTAAATGTAAAGCATCCCACACTTGCAAATTAGAATTAATATCCCAGCTGTTAACTTCACGCTTCTCCCTTTCACCTTGAACCCCACTAAAGCTCCACTCCCAGACTAATATCTTAAAATTTTGTTTGTCATGTTTCTGCTAGAGTTTTCAACACCTTCCATAATTATAATGACTTCTGACCGTCAGTTGAGAATGCTTGTATTTTATATGTATTTTTATTTGTAAATTATGTTCATTTTTTCTCTCCTACACACAGACACACACACACACACACGCACTACAAAGTATGCACTAAAATTAGATTTGAAAGGATATGTGTGGCAACTAAAATTGCTATTGCTATGAGTATTGTTAAAATACTTTAAATTTATTTTTAATAGAATTTTAGTCCCACTTAAACTCTTTAAGCTTGTTTTTAAAACCATGGTGGCATGTTTTGTTAGTCATGATAGCATCACACTATAATTTTATAAAAAGCTCAAGGAACAGTATCTACTCAAGATGTGGTTCACTATTAAAAGTATATATAAATATTTCACATAGTTTCTTGATAATTTCCGTTTCATAGGAGTAGGGAAAGTGTCATTTTTGCCATTTCTCTATTGTTCACTTATATTTGCATTACTTTGTCTTACCTTTGATCCACAATTTCTTCGAAGAAATCTTTCTAAACCATTGCTCTATTTGGTGAGGATTCATCAGTCTATATTACATGGCAACTTCTCACAACTTTTTTTCTCACACTCTCATCCAGTCCATCAGCAAATCTGTTGCCAATACCTTCAAAACATGTCCAGAATCCTCCCTTTTTACATTCCTCTTTACTACCATCCTGGACAAAGCCATCATCATGTTTTGGTTGAATTATTGCAAATACCTCTTAGCTAATCTTCTTCTCTTCCTTCTAAAGTCTCTTCTCTGCAGAACAGCCAGTCACTGAGATCTTTCTCAACCAGGGGTCAGGGCATGCCTCTCCTGGCTCCAAACCCTCCAGTGGACTCTCATCTCACTCAGAGTAAGATCCAAAGGACTTCTGCCGGCCTGCCAGCCCTGTTACCTCCCTACCCTTGTCAGCTCACTTTGCTCTGGCCACACTGGCCCCTTGGCTGTTCTTTGGACACTTTCAAACACACTTCCTCCCCGGGTCTTACACTTGCCCTTGTCTCTGCCTGTTTTCTCTCATCTCAGCTACCTAAATGCCTCCTCCCTTGCTTCCTTCAGGTCTCTGCTCAAATAATACATAGAAAGTCTGGATTTCTCTGGCCCCTCTCAATGAAATAGCATCCCCCGACCCTGACCCACCCCAGTGATCCTCTACCCATGCACCCTGCTTTTTTCTTCTCCATAGCAGTTAGCATACTTGACATATATATGTTTATTATCTCCATCCTAAAGAATATAAAACTTTATTGAGAGCAAGCACTTTGGTTCTTTTTGCTTAATGCTCTATCTACAGCATCGAGAACAATGTCTGGCATACTATAAGCATTCAATAAATATTTATTATTGAGCTAGTGGTTCAATAGTAATTGCCCAATATCATTTCTAAACCTGTAACTGGTTGGCATAGACTGAAGATGCTTTTATTCCTTGTTTATTTCAGTTGTCTTCCTTATTAGACTGTAAATGTTGTATGTGTTACAGCCATGTCTTCTACTGCTTTTTTAACACCCTAGAATTATTGAAATACTTATATGGAAACCATGACTTTAGATGAGTAATAATATGGAGTTTATATGAAAGAGCAAATGATGTTTAAAGCATTTATCTAATGGTATTGGTATATTGCTTGGTCCATCAGCCAGTGGGATCTAAAATGCCTACAGACTTAGATGAGTGCGTTTCACACCCAGGAAGAAAAGGTCTTTCTTCTAATTTTAAGGCTGCCTTATAAGCTTCACAAGCAGGATATAGTGTGCAGGCAAATTAGCAGAGGGATGCAAGAACCAACTGAGAGGGGAAAGGTCCTAAAATTGGACCATTCTGATTCCTGTAAAGTTGTTGTTTTAATAATTCACATGTTCTAAGTATGCTTATTCTTGTGTGTTTTTTTTTTTCAAAGAAAAAACACACAGATAAATTTAAGGAGCCTTTAAACTCCATACAAATGGAATCACAATGGAATTTCTTTCAGTGCTTCCAAAATACTTTTATAATGATGATGGTAATGATGATGATGACGATAGCTAACGCTCATTAGCATTTGCCACCTGCCAGGCATTGTTGTAAGAATTCTGTCTATATTAACTTGGTATGATCATGACAATACCCAGAAAGCCAAAGAGAAAATCAGAAGAAAACAACGTAATCAGGAAAAATGACCCACAAAATGAACATTATTCAGCTCATTTTAAAACGCAAAATAATTCTTTTTTTATTTTAAATGTCCAAAAAGTGTTTAGTATGACCAACTGGTTGAACATTAAATGGAATTTAATTTGATTCTCATATACGTAAGGTATTTAACAATTTAGAAAAAATTATCATTTCATCTTCCAGTATGGGAATATTCTTGGTTTTATTAAGGCCATTGGGATTGTGGTTTAGTGAAGTTTTAGGAAAATTGATGCTTTGCAAATGCAGTGGGTCATGGTGTTTTGATATTACTCTGCTCTGTTCTGCTTTAGTTTAGAAGAAAATATAAAAGATGACAATGACAAGGAAGAGCAAACCTGGCTCTCAGAGTCCTAGGGTACAGATGTATATATGAGTGACACATGTCACAGCCCTCTCTAGGCTGTATGCTCCTTAAGGGCACGGATCATCCCTGTCCCTGTCTTTGCATCTCTGGCATCTAGCGCAATCTTGGCATTTGATGCTCAGTAAGTGCTTGTGAATTAATGAAGACCACACAGTTGTGATGAGTTTATGTAAGAGTCAATAATGGTGCGAATTCCCACCCCAAAGCCCCATTGGGCATTGAATTAAAAAGAGTCCATAGTTACATTCTCCCGGGCCTGAGTGTCACAAATCAAATCAATGAGTGAAGTTATGCATTCCAAGAAAATACACTATCTAGATAAACTTAGATAAATATTAAGACAAATGTTAGGTAAGTATCATCTCATATATTTGGAATTGTAATCTGATCACATACTATCACCTTGGCTTCATTTTGTTTTATAAAAATGTAACCATGCACATGTAAATGTGATGTATCTGTGATTGATTGCATTCAAAGGACAGCTTGTCAACCAGGCCTGCTGTGATCTATTTGTGGTAACCATTGACTCAGCAATTCTAACAGGCACCCTCTACCTCATTCTGTGACCTTGGAGAGCTTCGTTTTTCTATTTTTGGCTCAGTTTTCTCCTATATGACTGGAAATAATTACTTTGCAATGTTTTTACTAGAGAATGATCTTAAAAGAGACTCAGCTGAAATTGTTTCCAATTTCAACAAGGTAATTATGGGTACATGATGGAATCAGAATTGATAACTATATGTTATATATTATTTTCTTTAAAAATGTTCTGCATTTTGCTTAACATTTATACAAAATGTATCAAAAACATTTTTATTTTTATTTTTACTGTTGCTAAAAGAGAAATGCTTGAATTATGGATTTCTAAATTTATCATAATAAAGTAGAAAGGATTTTGAATTGAATAGAATGGAATCTAATACCTAACAACTCTGACTATTAGCTCTGAGTCCTCAGACAAGTTACCTAAATTCTCTGAGGCTTGTAATCTTTCATCCTGTATACCTAACAACTCTGACTATTAGCTCTGAGTCCTCAGACAAGTTACCTAAATTCTCTGAGGCTTGTAATCTTTCATCCTGTACAACAAAATAATACACTTTGCTTCCTAGAGTTGATGTAAGGATTTAAAAAAAAAAAGATAATGTGGGGGGAAACTGTATCAGATGCCTATTCCTCAAAAAAGTTACATGACTGCTTCCTAAACAAATACTGCTAACAGGCTGAAAGTCCTGGGTTTAAACCAAACATTTCCATTTTTATAGAAAGTTGTTTAAAATAATGCTTATTTTTAAGAATGGTACACCGTTTAATAAAACTTGTGAGTGTGTTCTTATATAAAATTTAAGAATGTTAGCCTATTCTAGTGAAAGTGTTTTCTCTTAGTTGTAAAATAAACACTTAAAATACAAATAAAAGCAAGTTATGAAAGATTTTCTAAGTTGCTATGAAGGCAACTAATCTTTTTAATTAGTAAACAATGAGAGTAGGGAACCTATTTGTTGGTTGCATTACTTACTGCATATCTAGCAGCCAGCAGAGTGCTTGGCCATTGTAGGTGTTCAATTAATATTTGTAGAATGAATGCATAGAGAGTGTATGGATTTTTGAATCACAGAGATTTGAGTTGAATCACAGCTACATACTAGAATAACAATATCTATCTCCAAAGCTTGCTAAGAGGATTGGAAGAGGTAGCACATGAAAAGTATCTGGCTCCTGTATTTAGATATGTTTCCCTTATTTTTGTTCATAGTTTTGCTAATTTCATGATATATTGCATGTGTAGAGAAAATGGAAGTTCCATGGCCAGGATTCTCACCTGACCCTGGTCTGCTTGCCCCCTGGGGACATGCAATGCTCGCAGATGCATGCTTGCACACGTGTGGGCAACATGTTATCACTGAGTCTATAGAAAGAGTTCCACCTGGGGCTCTGGGGCTGCAGGGCTACGAGGCAGCTGAGAGACCCGGAGGCAGAGACCAGCTTGCTGCCTGCAGACTTGCCCTAAGACGGACAGGATTCTAACGCTTTACCTACCACCTTGAACAGAAAACTAGGTATAAACTCTTTTACCCCCAAGAACTTTCCATTGTCATTTTTAGGTCTCACTGAATCCAGAGTGGACTTGCCCAGTGCTGAACCTTCAGGCGACTCAGCATGTTAAGGTCAATTTAGCATGCCTAATGACCAGATTAATAAATTACCACATGTATTCTACTTGTATAGAAAGAGATTGTACCTGTAGTAAAATCCTACTCAGTAAATCTTAGGCTGGTCTCTCTTTGATATATTGATAAAGCTTTGGCCATCAGAGCAGCCAAACTGTTCAGGAAAAGTAATTCCTTCTTCAAGTCTTTTTAAAGAAACCTGCATTACTTGTTCAGTTTTTCTGCACATGGCTTTCGGTTGCCTTTTGAGCTAGTGACCCTGAATTTTAACTAATGAACTCCAGCTGTTCTTACTTTGCTTTCCATCCCTTCTCATTTAACCTCCTGTCTCTCTGGTCTCACATCTTTAAAGTTCTTACAGGAAAAATGGGACAGTGCCAGAATTTTCAAATGAGGCCTCATATCTTCTTGGGGGAGAGGGCTCCTCTAACAAGAGTTTCCAACTTTTACACTGGTGGAAACAGAAACGTTCATTGTTGGAAATTGGATGCCTAACAACCCCCAAAGTGTAAAAAATCCTTTTGTGGTTTTTAATATTATACAAGTACAGCATTCAGTAAGGTAAGTCCATAAAACCAAGAAAGTCCACAGTTGAATACTAAATGTAATTGGAAACACCTGTGACAGAGAGGCAATTCCTTGGTAAATACGCAATAAAAGAAACATTTAGTGTACAGAACAATACAGATCCAGCTTTTCTGAACCACGCTGAGAACCATCTGTTAGCAAAACTGGCAAAAGGTTTCACTATTAAAGTCATAAGTCAACCTGAAAAATCTGTGGCAAAATCTGAGTGAGCCAGTTCTGAAGCAATCGGCAAGCTCAAACTCACAAAAGTGACACCATGAAATTGGGCCAAGCTTGGGCCTAGAGACCCTCCCCTTATGTCTGGTGACCTAGGGATTTCTACCATGTTCGGAAATACTCTTAACCTATCCACACAGCTCTTTCTAAATCTAATCATTCTTTCATGGGAACCACTAATAGGTACATTAGTAAATGCAGCTTTTATTATTTTAAATACTTAAAACAATGCTTTCCTCCAGAATGTACCTGACCTTAGCAGGATGAATCCCCAGCTAACCCATCAGCTAAATGGCTCTCCTACTCAAATTTAAACTGATGTATTTCCCAGGGGTTCATAAAGACTTTTGAAAATTGCATCAAATTCAGTTATAAACGCATTTGATGAATTACTTTTTTCATGCCTGTTTGCATAACCCATCCTTCCAAGCTCAGTTCAAAATCTACTGACTTCACTAGCCACACCACCAATACTAATTGGTTCTAGTTATCTTAGTTTATGTCTTTTTACCTCCATTGTAACACTTGTAACTTGAATCATCTGCTCTGTTAAGACTGAAATTGGTAAAAAGCTAAGATCAGGGCTTTTTCTTCTCATCCTTCACAATACCCAGCAATATGCTCTGTACATAATACATGCTGCATGAAAAAGGGAAGAAGAAGTTGTTAACAGGACAGAAAGAAAGGCCAGGGAAGAGCCATTTCTCTGGGTTTTTGCTGAAATGGATAGCAATCTATCATTTTATTTCACATGGCTCATTTAAAAGGTCAAAAATTGCATTTATTTTCACTATATTGGCTTCTTGATTTTTATATTATAAATGATTAGTTATCTTGAAGTTGAACAAGTCATCACTAAGGGAAAGGAACAACAATGAATAATAGCAGCCAACATTTATAGAACTCTGAAAATGGCCTCTGTGATAAGCGCTCTATATGTATATTTTCATTTAATCCTCGTAACAACTCAATGAAATAGGTACTATTATCCTCTTTCTGCAATAAACTGAGTCTTAATTGATAAAGTAATATACTGATGGTCACATCAATAGTAATTGATAAGTCTAAGATTCAACCCCAAGTCCATCTGACACCAGATTCCTCACCTGCTTGCAATATTGCCCAGGTTACAGAGAAAATATAGGGACAACATTCAACATACATGCCTCCCCAGGCTGTTTTTCAAATACTATCTAAACAACTTGTTTTCAGGCAAATTGGTAACTGAGAAATTTGTGTGATTATATTACTTCTTTTCTCTTTTATATGGATTTTTCTGGGATTATACAGATAATAGCCTTAGCACTTAGCATAAGACCAAATGCACAGATCATATTTTGTAAATACTTATTGAGTTCTCAGTCTTGGTTAACTAATAAAATAGTTTTGCATCTTAATTTCCTCAAGAAAAAATAATGAAATCATAGTGTAAATATAGTTGGAAAACTGGTATGAAGAATAAAATTGCAATTATCATATTACTTGTAGAAGTATCGAAAAAATGGATAGACTAATGAATCTGTTACCAAATCAAGGACTTAAAACAGATCTCTGAATACAGTGGAATTTGTATCATATTATTAGTAATCTGTTTTTCCTCCATTTGACTTTTTCTCTCATTCACTCTTGTACTACATGATGTTTAATAATGACATAATATTTTATCATACAAATATACTACAATGTGGTTAGCCAACTCCAAACAGAAATCTCTAAAATGGTTACCTTCCCTAATAGCTGTAAATGGGACTCCTTCCTCTGCATTCATGCTGATGACTTTTAAAGCCACTAGCTGTCCATTTATCCTAGAAGAAGCAAGGGAAAGGGCACACATTTATTGAGAGGTTTATAGCAGCAATTTATACTAAGGATAGTTTTAAAAAAGTAGCTTTCCTTCCTAATACATTCCAGCATATGAATCTACAATTTTCTCAAAATAAAAGTTCTAAAAGTAATTTTTTTCTCTTTGCCAAGTGATATATACTCACTGGAGAAAATTTGGAGAATACAGAAAAGCACAGAACCGCCCTCTCATCCATCCTCGTAATATTCTGGTGTACATTATTCCTTTTGTTTCTCTTTGTGTACTTACTTGAGCCATCCTTACTTTTCATCTGAATTATTTTTGTGACCTCTAAAAAGTCTCCCTGCTTGTATACTTCTATGCCTACTATTCTCAACTGAATAGGCTGGGGCATCTTTTTTAAGTGAAAATTAAAACAAATCACATCTCTGCTCAAAACTCACTGTTATCTCCACATTGCACTCTGAGAAAAAGCCAACTTCTTAAATCACCTCCTAAGTGCAACCTGATCTGCCCAAGCCCAACTGTCTTTCTCTCTCTTCAACTCCTCCTACTGGTCCCTTATTCTTGTGTTCACTGATGTAAGGTAAGTGCCAAGAACAGAGATTTTAATACAAGTATGTTATTTTTAATACAGTGGGATTCATATCATATTATTAATAACCTGTTTTTCCTCCATTTAACTTTCTCTTATTCATTCTTATTCTATGTGATACTTAATAATATAAATATACTACAATGTGTTTAGCCAATTCCAAATGCTTTTAAATTGGAATTTTAAATCACACCACAGAGTCATCACACCATTTACTGGCCATGAGACTGGCTGCCTTTTCCAGCACTACCTCACCAACACTGGGCAGGGATTTTTTGTTTTCGTTTTTTTAAGATTTCATTTTTAGAACAGTTTTTGACTTACAGAAAAATTGAGAAGATAGTACAGAGAGTTTCCATATACATCGCATCCAATTTCTTTTATTGTTAATATTTTACATTAGTATAGCACATTTGTTAAAATTAATGAACCAATACTGATACATTTTTATTGCCTAAAGCTCAGAGTTTATTAGGAATTCTTTAGGTTGGGTTTTTTTTGCAATAAAATTGTACTATTTATTGTGGGTTGCATTGTAAATTGGTAACATTTGGGGGGAAATGCAGCATGATAATCATAGGAAAAGCCATAAAAGTACCATATTCAGGAATTTTTCCCAATAAACTTATTTAATAAAGATTTTTAAAATTCTAAACACATGAAAGATATCCTCCACTGTGATAGTCACAACAGAAAAATAAAAGAGAGAAAGAAATAGTTGAAATGTCCAACATTAGAGGAATAGTTTTAAAAGTTATGGTGTATCAATACAATGTGCTAGAATATATGTGAATACTTGGGGTATCAGGGACACTTTCAATCTTCCCAAAGGGTTCTGACTTCAGTGTTCTATATAGATAGACCTTTCCAGTCCAAAGGTGACACAGAAGTCCTTTACCTATTCTGCTAGTTCTTATATGTTTTCTTTTTCATTTCTCTGCTTAATCTATGAGGAATTCATATTGTATACTTACTTTTCCCATATTGCTAACAATCATCTCCCCTCCCTGACTTGGACTGTCTTCTTTTCCCAGCTGATTTGACATGCCACCATGAGTATATATTGGTTCTTACTAATACTTGAATTTGTGACTGTCCTGGACTTTTAAAAATCATAGTTCTTTGATCTGTCTTTTCTATGCTTGTGCTGCACTATTTTAATTATTGTAGCTTTTGAACACATTTAGGATATATTGAAACTCTCATAGAGAATCACTGACATCTATTTGATTTTCTAACCCAAATGCTCTCCAAGACCCCAAGCAGCTACCTTACTGCAACTGCAACTCCTCCCTGTCTTGTCCCCTTCCATCCTCCCTCCAAAGCCAGGCCTGTCCCTGCGTTGGGGATTTGCTGCTTGCTGTTCCCTCTGCAGGAAGCTGTCTCCCAGTCCACGAGCATGCAGAGAACACCTCACCTTTGTCAGTCCCTGCTTAAGCATTCCCTTTCGCTGCTCTATTTAAGACAGCAATCCACCACCCACTCTGGCACTCCATATGCCACTTTCCAGTTTTATTCTTTTCCAAATCGCTTTTCACTCTTTTGACAAACTCAGTGTTTAACTAGTTTGTTTATTGCCTGTCTCACTCCCAACAGAATGTCCATTCCATAAAAGCAAGGAATTTTGTCTCCTTTGTTCTCTAGAATAGTACTTGGGCCATAGTAGGTGCTTAATAAATATTAATAGAATGAATGAATGCCTGTCTGGCTCTTTCTTCAAGTCTTTCACATCCTTTAGTAAAGCTTTATATAAATCCTGCCCATTTTTGATGCTCATGAGTTTTTGTGGTTGCTATTGTGAGTAGTTTCCCCTACTACGTTTTCTATTAAATGGTTGTTGCTAATACATGAGACAACTTTTGCTAAGTGTATTTTAATTTTATAACTGATCATCCTATTGTTCTATCTTACTACTTCTAATGGTTTCTTAGATGATCCTCTTGGGTTCTTAGGTAGATAATTCTTTAATCCACAAAAATGATATTCAGTCTTTTTTTTCCTCACTGCATTAGCTATAAGATTTATGATAATCTTTAACAATAAAGGATAATGGACATTCTTGCCTGATATCTAACTTAATGCATCTATTTCTATGATATTTTTTAGCTTGTTTTTAAATTATAAATGTAATGCCTGTAATAAAGTGAAAAGTCAGTGATCTTTCTTTCCTCACCCCAGTTTCAATCACTAGAAGTATCTTTTAACAGCTGTGTGTATTTTTCCAGACTGCTCTGTGCACATACATATTTATACATGTATAGTACATCTGAGTGCTTTTTTTCTAAATGAGATCACAGGGTACATACTGTTCTGTAACTTCTTTTCTCTTAAAATACTGGACATCTTTTCATATTAGTTCATCTACTTCATACTTCAGATGGCTACACACAATTTCAATGTATGGTGGCTATTAAGCCTGTCCTCCATTAATGGATATTTGTGACCAAGATTTTACTTTTTCTATTATAAACTTTGCTGCAATAAACACACTTATACATATATCTCTGTGCACCTGGACAAATATTTCTCATGTATTTTGCATCCTGTTACTAGGCTGAGTTCTTTGGAGAAAATCTTTAATAGTCTCAGTTTCTAATACAGTCTATGGAAGTGAATTAAATCCTATTTCTACATACATATTTTAAATGCTATTTTCCCTAAAATCCTGTTTTAACAAGTAAAAATAATAACAAGTATGAAGATCAAAATAATAAATATTTAGTCCTATAGTATTTATATAAAAATTTTTAAATTAACATTTAACCACTACTGAGCCATTATTTTTCTCCACTGGAGTAACAAATTAAATCAGATGTTCTGTCTTTCCTACCATGACTAAAAGGCAGAGGATTTCATGGATTTTTCATATACGTTTAACAGAGTTTGTGTGCCAAAATGAGCACTTGGCTTTTGTATTAACAGTTTATTTTTTATTTTTCAGCCATTCTTCTGTGTATTTTGCAAGTGTAGAAAACCAAGAATTGATCAGTTTTCACATATGTCATACTTTGTAGAAACCAGCTTCAGTTTCTTCCTGATGGCAATGTGGGAGAATGAAGGAGTAAGCTCACAGTTGCCATGCAAACATCTGTTTAAGGGAGGGATGAAAAACCCTTTAAAGACACCTTACCAACTGCTCTTCCCACCAGATGAAGAGCAATAATTGTTCTTTGGGTCAGTAGTAGATAGAGTCTACTTTGCATTGAACAAAAGAGAAGAGCTGATAAACATCTTAGTGGACTAATTTTAATTGGGGAGGAAAAGTTAATTTTTCTTCAAGGCTGTTAAATCATCATGTCTGTCCCCAGTGACTATGATATCTTGCACAGGTCCCAAACTTCAGCTACGTGTCACCTGGCTTTATAAAGTCAAATCAGAGGGGCGGGATCATTATCTCTAAAATCTCTCCCAGCTATGAGTCACTCACCTGCTAATCCCCTTGTAAACTGTAGCATAAGAACCTTCACCCAGCTTCTCCAAGTTCAAGTAAGATGAGGCTGCCCCAAAAGGGAGGCTCTTCCTCTGCTTAAGGGGAGTGGGGAGGGGTAGGAGGTGGAAAAGAAAGAAAGAGCACTTTTTTTAGGGTTGACTTTTTTTTTTCCCCAGAGAAATTAGGCAGCATTATCAGAGTGTATATGCTCAGTCAGTGCCCTGGAAGTGAGAGCCAGCCTCCCTAGACAAGCACACATTAAATTCTTCTTGATCAACATCAGCTGCTCACTCACCCACTGAAAACTCTGCCTCAGATCTTCTTCCTGAAAAGAATCACTGTTACTCCGTGGCCTTTTACTCTTGAACTTCCGGGCACGGGCAGCCTGAAGTCCCCTGGGGTGAAATGAAGTCATGGAACATGATGCTTCTTTTAGGTCTGTTAGCTGGAGGAAAAAGAAAGAACAGGAATAAAATACATGCAAAGTCAAGACTCGGCAGCTTGCATAAACCATTTTTTCTTTAGTTGACTGCTTTTCACTCTTCAAATGTTTTTCAAGCTTCCTACACCCTCAAAGGGCAAGTCCTTTCCTGAAAGTCAGATCCCTTAAAAAGACCATAATGCTATCAACTGCAGAAACACTATATTCTTTATTCACTGAAAAATCTCTCTTTAACATTTAGGTTAACCTAAATCTCTTTGATGGATGGTTTCCAATTTTTGTTTAACTCAGGCTGTTTTTTTTTTTTTTCCATATCCTCTTATCTCTTCTGGGGAATAATGTTCTAGTATAGCATTGTTAATAACCAGGAGGTAGTTACTGAAATTTTGAATCCATAGCATATGATACTGCAGCTTGCTTTTTTAAGACTCAGTTCTGCAATTTGGTACCACAGAGATTTCAAGAGAGTAATACTTTACCTCAAGTCAAGTGAGTTTTATGCAGTCTACAGCATAGGATTTTTTCCCCCTTCTGGTTTACAAGAAAATCCCCAAATTTGATAACAACAGCCATAAATTCTCTGTGACTTTAATAGAATTTTCTTATTATTGGTTTAGACCTACCACAGAAAAATCAGACCCTGCTTCAGAAAGGGAGTCTCTGAACTCCGTGGTTCATCAATAGAGAAAGATGCTCCTCTTGGGATACAAATACCTCGATCGCAGACTCCATGGTCACAGGCACACTCCTCTGACAGCTGTGTGCATCGCCTCCCTCCCAACAGCGATGGCAGCTGCATCCAGGCTGGAGAGTCTTTGCACACAGCTCTTGACCCATAATCTTCTAGGTTCAAGAAAAAAACTAGCACTTGAACCTTTTCCCCTGTGCCTCTCCTGTCCTCGCTCACTCCCTTTTTGCCAGAGGTCAGCCAGGCTGGAGCTTTCACATGGCTCACATGAGGGCTCTGCTGGAGCAGCCTCATGACTTCAGCAGTTTTTCCTTCTCAGTGCAAGAAACTATACATCGGAAAGGCAGCTGCCTGCAATAATATGTGCACAACTGAAAACAGGGCAGCAAATATTGGACAGAATAAAATTTGGCACAGTGAAAGTTCTTATCCCAGCCACACATTAGTGCTGTTGGTATACATAGTTTTTATGAATTTATATTGCTTAACCTGGTAAATGATAATGATATTTATTAGGCTTCCCTGGTACTAAAGTAGACATCTTGAGAAGTATTTTCTCCCTGCTTTTCATCTGAGACCCTGTTGGTTTTCGGACTTTAAAATAAATTTGCAACCTAGCCAACTTTTCCTAGTCAAAGAAACCACAGTCATTGAAGAGGAAGAAAGTTAAAGATACCTACTCCATCTCTCCACCTCCAAACAACAGTATACCTAATAGTCTATCTAATAGAGGGGTATTCACTCATTCATCGATTCAAAAACTATCTAGTGAGCACCTGTGTTGTTCTTACTGTACAAATAACAATGTTACCCAGTGGTGGAGAGGAGTTTGCATGATCTATCTCCTTCTCTCTCCCTGACTTCTTCCTTCCTCATAAATATAATTAATGTTTATTACATTAATAACATGATATATCAGGAACTAGCTCCAGCTAGTTTGCAGTCTTTGAACAGTACTTTTTTCTTTCATAGACTTCTGTTATTGCCACTATATTTTGTTATTGTACTAATAAGAGTAAAATAGAATATAGGATACACACACACACACACACACACAAACAGTTGTTATCATTAAGGGGAAAAAATAAGTTAATGTCTGTTATCCACAATGGTATTTGTGTATATTTGACACCTGAACCTAATAATGGTTATAAACACATTTCAGATAATTTAATTATAAGCATGTATTAAAGTTTTATTTCAAAATTGCCACAGGACATCTTAAACAGGCCAATTCTAAAGATTCACTCAAAGAAATTTAGTAAATAGTGACTAGGCACAGTAATACAGAAAAAAGTATTTGGTCAAAGACTGTTAAGCTTTTGACTTAACAATCAACAGAGAGTGAGAGAAGCTATTTTCTCAAAATATTTAATTCCATTAGAAATTATCATAATGTAATTATAATATTTTATGAAAAGTGCTGATTTCTTCCTAAAAGGAGATGGTGAATTTCATCATACAAAGTTATTTATCAGACTAGGATTGAGAGTTTTTCATCAACTTCTAATTATTATAAGTTTTAGAATTTTTAAATGGCTGGCATTTTTATTAGCCTAGGGGTTATTCACCTAAGTGAAGCATTGCTCAAATAGAATAACCTGGTTTTTTTAAGGTTTAGAATGCATATTTAGATATTGGGTGGACTACTGAGGGAAACTGCAAAATATCCTTCAGAATTTTCAAAAATAAAATAATTTATGGTATTGGTTAAAGTCAAGGAAAAATATTGATGACTTCCTAAGATATTTTCTAGGTCTCTGTCCAAACTATTTTTGTTAACAAAGATTTCTGAATAAGGATGGAAGACTTAGGTGATCTCATTTGAATTGTGAATCAGACCATTTGAGCCACTCTAGGTTGGCCAGACTTACCGCAGCAGCCTGGTTAGTTTCATAGTGGCAGCAGCCCGCTGGGCTGTCTTAAAGCATGGCCACTGTTACTGCTTCCTCTTGCTGTCATAGACCACAGGGCCCCCACAGGTGAAGCTGACTGACAGGGAGAGACCCCTGTGCCTGGCTACTACCCTGAATGGATCCACAGAAGCTCTGGCTTCTCAAGCCACTTCCCGCAAAAACCAGGTGACCCCGTAGAGAAGTGCACGAAGTTCCATGGAGTACACTTCCAACATTTTGAAACCAGCAATGTTTATTGTGGAGATGAGGCCAGCTCAGAAATATGCTTTGATCTGCTTCCCCTACTTTTCTGCTTTACTTCCTCTTGCCCCTCACTTCTACTTCCTTGGGATTGCACACGACCCCTCCCCCTCAAAATTAAGAGGTAGCATGTAAGCTTTTGTTGCAGGCTCTGTTTCTAGGGAACCTGTGTTAAGACAAATGGTAGCTATTTTTTAATTAGCAGTAAAATTATAGGTTATTGATCATTTCAGTTAGCATCTCCCACCTTACATTTCTGGAGTCATTTTTCCTTTCTCAATTGTGTGTATCAAACTACTATGTTTAGCTGTGAATTTGCACTTTTTCTAACATTTGTATTCTGTCTTTATTAAATTTAGCTGGATTATTAGGAATTATGGCCTAATTATAACCTTTCTAGAATTTGTAGTTCATCATAAGCATTCAGCAGTTAATATTATGAGGAATAATATGAAGTTTGTTGGAATCATTAAAAATAATCCGGGGGGGAACATGGGGAAGACAGTGTAGCACAAAGAAGGCAAATAGTGATTCTGTGGAATCTTACTGTACTGATGGGCAGTGACTGCAGTAGGGTATGGGGGGGAACACAATAACACGGGTAAATGTAGTAACCACATTGTTTTTCATGTAAAACCTTCATTAGAGTGTATATCAATAATACCTTAATTTAAAAAAAATTTTTTTAATAAAGAATACCAAGACATTATTTGACCTTTTCACTTTCATTTTTTCATGAGTTTAAATATATACCAGGTATACGATGTCATCACTTTGACAGCTAATCACTTGTTGTGTACTTGTGCATTTTTGTTTGAAAATGTCTGTTTTAACGTCTAATATGGTAATTTCTAATATGGTATTGATAAATATAACCCACATGAAGAATAGCTCTTTGAGGTCCTCAGTAATTTTTGAGGATGTATGGAGGTTCTGAGACCAAAAATATGAAAACTGCTGCTATAAGAAGCAGGTTTTACTTGGTCACGCTGAACGGTTTTCTAAAGCATTTGTAACAGTTCACACTCCCACCGGCAGTGGTTGAGTGTCATTGCTCCACATCTCAGGCATGTTTTGTACTGACTATGTTTTATATTTGCCAATCAGATGGTGATTATGTGGTATCTGACTGTGGATTTAATTTGCATTTCCCTGGTTACTAATGAAACTGAGTGTTTTTTTTTCCATATATGAATGTGTTTCTTTGTGAAATATCTGTTCACGTCTTTTGCCCACTTTTCTCTTTACTACATATCTTTTTCTCATTGATTAGTGTGATTTCTTTATACAGTCTGGATACCAACCCTTTGTCAGTTAAACATATATATATATATATCTTCTCCCTGTTTGTGTATTATCTTTTTTTAATTGTATTGAATCTGTTGATCAGTGTGGGGAAAATTGGTTATCTTTTCAATAATGAGTCTTCCTAGCCATACACATTGTGTATCTCTCCATTTATTTGGTCTTCTTTCAATATCTCTCAATAAACTTTAATAATTTTTCTAAAAAAAATCCAAATACATCCACACAATGGAGTAATATCATATAGTTATAAAAAATGAGATCTCTATATAATGACATGCAATGATCATCAAAATATTTTAAGTGAAAAAAGCAAAATGCTTTTGTGTGTTTGGGAGTGTGGTAAAGCAATGAGGGGAAATCAGAGTAGTCAGTAGTTTTGCTAATGGTAGCAATATTATGATTATTATTTTGAAGCTACTACTGGCATATTTTGGGGTTAAACAAGTAATTATGATAATCTCATTAGAAACCAAATTTCCCTGCATAAGAGAAAATAGACATAAATATCAAATCAAAGAAATTAAGTAAAAATTACAGTATCTTAAATTCAATTTGGAAATATCAATGTGAACTTATAATTTTTTCCCTTAAAAAATGCTATCAACCAAAAAGATCTAGAAACAATGACAACTGAATAGCAATGAGCAGGCCTGGTACTCAAATCTGTGGTCTCTAAGTACTGTTATCCATTTAAAAACAACAACAACAAAAAAACAAGCATGCTTCAAGAAATGGTGGCTGAATGTCTGAAGTATGGTATCTAGGAAGTTATCAAGAAAGATATCCAGGATTATCTTAAGTCAACGGGAGTCATGTTGAAAGCACGTAAAAGCCAACTTGAAGGGACTCCC